CCTGCTATGGCTATGGTGAGACTGGACACTACCAGAGGGACTGCCCGATAACAAAGAACTCAGGAGCGGATGGACGAATTCTAATGATCACCGCAGGAGAATCAACCCCGGAGTCGCCAGCGAGCAGCGGTACGTTTTCGAATCAAAGCATTACTTTAAAAATTAATTTATATTTATATATGATTAATACTTGGGGACAACATTTAAAAGTAATTATAATAACTCACTTATTGAAACAAATCACAGTATTCAAGAGAACTAAAAGATCCGTTCAGAGAAGCTATGATGGCTGAGTATGTACATCAGGGTTGTGCATAGCTAAGATTTTGCAGACCTAGAGTGAATGATTCCTCCCTAATTCATGTTCCTTGTTTGGTTGTGGATTTGGGGCAGAGTTACTCAGTCGACTGTCTTATTCATCTTAATTATTCATAACTTGTATATGACATGCGATCATAGTGGTACCGAGGAGGATCGTAGTATAAAGTATCGACACTAGTTATCAAGGCACTTTCATTGTATGTACTCGCTCATCGCGATACTATACGTAGAAGTGTTAACATCAAGGGGAAAACAGAAAGCACTAGAACGTTTACAAAGAGTACATTGTCGAGCACACTAGGAGTACATCATCGTATAACAGACATTTCTTTCAAATCGGCCAAACTTTGTTCAGTGAAGAGTCCGTTTCTATCATTCGTCATGAGTCGGCGTGGTCCTCACCATACTAAGTTCATATGTTTCTATCTCCTCGACCGTCAAATTCACGAAACCTTCGTCATTCGTAACGACAGTCTGACCCAGACCTCAGTTTTGTCCTTAGTATTCTAAACCCCGAAGTACTCGTGTGAAGAGTACTTTGCCCTCCGAAGCATTTCTGCCGTATGTTCCACAGACCGTCACGAAATACCACTCGTCCAGCAGACCAAGTTCGAGCATAGAGGCTAAGGACGAATACAACCCACCTATCACTATTCAGTGTATACGTGAGGGTGGTATATGATTATGATTACGCAAATTTAGTATGTGTGCTTCCGCCCTATCTCCTGTTCCTTGTTCGGTTGTGGACCTGGGGCAGAGTCGCACATCCGACAGTCTTACTAATCTTAATTATATACGACTTGTATACACGAAGTAATGATAGATGAACCAAGTATGAATCCTATCAGGGACATTAGGGCAAAGTTGCCCAGGTCTACGAGTGAGTGTTCTACCAATCAGAGGAGCACAACCCCAGTAGTACTGCTAAGAAAGCTAATTTCGGGATGAAATTCCATCTAACGGGGGGATGATGTGACAACCCGGAAATTTTTGCCTTGAAATTCTAGCCATTCAAATCAACCGTGTGTCAGACTAGTTTCTACTATCTTTTAGCCCCTTTTAAGGGTTCGTTTGGGCGTTTTAAGCCTAGTACCTTAAAGGATAAAGTGTTAGGAAGTATCTGTTTGAGTTCATTGTACATCATTCAAGCCAAAAACTCCATCTCAAGGAGTTTACAGCCGCAAACAAGGAGTTTACGGCTGTAAACTCTTGCCAGCCGTAAAATCATGCCTATAAGTCTCTCATTCCTTCATTTTTCTTCATTATTCACACTTCCAAGTCAAGAAACTTCCATTCTCTCTCAAGTATCATCGAGTTCTTCATCCCCGATCTTCAAAAACGTAAGTGATTCTTCCATCTAGTTGTTGTTATTCTTCTTAATCATGAATCACCCTTTGAATCCATCCATGAAAATCATTTTTTTTGGGTAGATATTCAAGATCTTCATCTTTCACCAAGAACACACACTTGTTCTTGGTGGCCGAAAACCCCTTTTAAGGCTTCAAAATCGTGAGTATTCCTTTCATACACTTGCTACCCAGTTATTCTATAGAAGCTCTTCACTTTCACCCTTGAAAACAACCTTTTTCCGAGATCAATGAGAGTTTACGTCCAGGAGCATCTCCCTTGGCCGTAAACCCTTATTAAGGTCCTATGTTGGCCATAAGCTCTTCTTAAGGCTAGATATGAGTCAAGACACACTTCCTTGATGCTAAATAGGACCATAAAACACCCTTTGACATATGTAATCATGAGTTTACGGCCGTAAACTCATTGGGCCGTAAACCCATTGGCCGTAAACACCTTGGGCCGTGAACACCAAGTGTGGTCGTAAACTCCCCTTAGATGAATCACATGTGATTGTAACACTTGGTCCAAGTGTTTCATAGTACCTAAAGGTGTTTCCTTGCATGTGGTTGCTTCTAAACACTATATTCATGCCAATATATTTTATTGAGGACTCGTTTGTGCCTCGGGACTTTATTCATGGAACTTCTCATCCTTACGCGCATATTCGTTTGAATCACCCACATAAGGTGAGTTCATACCCCTATAATCAACATTTTAAACTGTTTTAAATGCTTTTAAGGGGGGAATACAAGTTGAACACAATTTAATTGTGTAAATGTTTGTTATAAACATCTTTCAAAAGATTACTTATGTCTTTTATAAGTGATAAAAACATTTCAAAAACTCTTTTTAAGTTATGTTACTTTATAGTTTATAAAACTCCGTTTTTTAAAGTACAATCATAACTTAGTAGATAAATGAGTCTTTTCAATAACAGTTCAAGTAAACAAGCTAGTAAACTATAGGGGTTCAGTTCATACTAGATGCTAGAACATACTATAAAGAGAATCAGGGAGGTAGATACAATACACGATAACATAGAGATCATACTATAAAGAGAAACAGGGAGGTAGATACAATACAACAGAGAGACATACTATACACTATACAAAGAGAACATACTAAGATACTATAACAGAAGAACAAATCATGATTAAATTAATTATACTAAGGATTCCCGGTAACGTAGGAAAGGAACGTATCATTAACTCATTGTTCTAAACAAAAGGTGATAATAAAAGTAGTATAATGGTTATATATATATATATATATATATATATATATATATATATGGTGCATCTACAATATGCCATGATTTATATATATGGGGTACATCTACAAAGTACCGGAGTTATATATGGGGTACATCTACAAAGTACCGAATATTAATAAATAAAACAAATGAATATATACAAAACTCATAACATACTAGTAACATGAACAAGTACTTCAGTGTGTCAATTTAAAAGACAAATGTATACTTTCATTTTTCCCATTACTTTCATATTGTGACAGTTCCACTTGAAAGTTAATGCAAACTATTTTCGAGTTAAGATAGTTAGAAACCAGGGAAAACTTACATCTTTTCAAGCGACAAACAGAACAGTCGAGTCTAGTACATTCAGTAGAAAGGGGCCTATAATGCTAACTTTATGATTCCTTAGTTTATACATCAGAGATATATATTAATCGGATCCGCCAGGTAGTAGGATGTGTGCTTTCCGCTTCATTTCCTGTTCCTTGTTTGGTTGTGGGCTTAGAGCAGATTCACCCAGCCTACTATCTCTCCGATCTTAGTTATATATATGTTCCGTATACATCAAGTAATCATAAGGGGGTACCAGGTATGGGTCAGGTCATAGGACACTAATTCAATGCACAGTTTTCTAGTACAAAACATATTTTTCAAATAGACCATTTGATATTCAAAACTAGAAACTTACCAGTAAAGGGTTTAATCCATTTTATTAAACCAGTATAACTTAAAGGACCTTAGGTGGTTAATTGTATAATACCTTAGTTTATACATCAGGGTTATATATAATTAATACGTGATAGGTAGTTGGATGTGTGCTTTCCGCCTCATTTCCTGTTCCTTGTTTGGTTGTGGGCTTAGGGCAAATTCACACAATTAACTATCTGTTCGATATTAGGTTATATATAGCCAGTATAAACTAAGTGATTATAGAAGGAACCACTATGGTTACCTTGTTTTTACTAAAAGAAATAAGGGTTTTCTTAAAGAATCTTTTCATCAAATATAAGGAACTAGTACAATTAACTCCGTGAGCACCAAGTGAATACGCAAGGGTTATATACAACGATGATCTAACAAACAATGGGATGTGTGCCTTCCACCTCATTTCCTGTTCCTTGTTTGGTTATGGGCTTAGGGCAGATACACACAACCGATTGTTTGTTTACTCTGGGTTTTATATAACTTGTATCCGTTTAGTACGCATAGAAAGGATTGTAGAGTCATTTTTACTTATCTTTCATCAAAGCAGGAAATATATGATTTTCTGGAGGAATATGCGAACTTTTCTAAAAGAACACACAACTTACTTACAACTTCTTACAAATTCTTACAACTTACTTACATCACTAAAATCTTATGAACTCACCAGCTTAAATGTTGATCTACTCTTTCAAAATAACTTGTATTCTCAGGAGACCAGTAGACAGGTACGCGCACTGGGATTTACTTTGTAGTCTATGATATGTGAACCACATACTTTGTAAACACTTTCATTCTAATGAAATGGTTGTTTATTACTTTGATTACTATGATGCATGTCTTGTGATACTAAACATGACGTCCTCCACCTCCGAACGTTTCCGCCGTTCCGATTTTGGGGTGTGACATATCTCATAAACTAGGATTTAAAGTCATGAACGAAAACATGATTATGTGGTACGTCTTCTATTCTGTAATACTTTTTACAAACACAATACAAAACAAATCGTAGTGATTGAAATCAAAATTATTAATCTAAGTAATTGCTACCAGTAGGCAAAATAGACTAACAAATTATTACAAAAATGGATAATGACTTAAAAATATAACAAACTTTTAAATCTGTTCATATTTAGTTACTGAATTTTTTTTCGTGTTTGGTTTACCCTTGAATTATTTAAAACTGTTCATATTTTACCCTTATGACCGGTTGTTACCGGTCACAAGGGGAAATTTGAACAATTTCAAATAATTCAAGGGTAAATCAAGCAAGAAAAAAAATTCAATGACTAAATGTGACAAAAGTTGAAAATTCGTTAACCTCCTTATAATTTTCCTCAATTGGTGTTATAACACCATTAATGACATATATATGAGGTGACATTTTTTGTATGTGATAATAGCTCTTGACATGTTGTTCATACTTAAGAGCCTAAGTTGTTTTAAGGACGTATTTGGGATTGCGTTTGAAAGTGTTTATTGACTCTTTAAAAAAACCAAGAATTTATGGTTTTTTGAAAAAGCTATTTTTTTTCCTATAAAATTACTATTTGCCAAACACCTTTTAAATTACTTGCTTTTAAAAAAAACCAATAAATTAGGAAGTCATTTAAAAATCATTTTCAAACACCAATTGGGACACAGATGCCTGATTTTCCAAATCCTCCACTCCCCAATTATCCCTTGGTCGCTCTGTAACTTCCTCAGAAATCCCTCCTACACTTTCACCGGCGTCGGAATCGATGAAGACGTGAAGAAGCTTACGGAGGATTACTTCCTTGTAGTTGCGACGGCGGTTGATTTAAGGTTGATTGCTGCGAAGAAGTACCGTGTGAAGGAGCTTAAGAATGCAGGGTTGAAACAATTGACGAGAAAGGTTCTTCGGAAGGAGATGAGCAAGCGGAAGGCTGTTACGATGAGTAATTGGGATAATCGGCGGCTGAATCCGGCACAGGTGCAATATGCATGCATCGATGCTTTCTTGAGTTTTGAGATCGGGAGGATCTTGATTTTAGGGAATCGGAACTAATTCGAATTACCAATCCATGATCTAATAAGGTAACTAGATTGGGGTTCTTCAAATTTCTTTGATTGTTTGATGATTTAGGGATTTGGGTATATAAAACGATTCTGTAGAGGATTTGATTCTTCAAATTGTTTAAGTTTAGTGCAAATTAATTGCTAAACCTATTTGTTATACAGTGATGGATGTTATACAGTTGAGAAAGTTGCTTCAATTCTGGCGTTTTGCATCTGTCCTGACTTCTGATCATCTTCCTTGAAGCAAATCTCATTGCTTTTCTTGCATTTTCATGTGTTTTTCAGTGTTTAGTGTGCCTCAACTAAGATGGAGCTTCTCCATGAATCTACAGTTTTGCATTGTGGTGATAAACTCAAAAGTGTTGTCTTTTCAACATCTTAAGTTCATAGAGATTACACTTATTGGATTTCTGATGCTACTGAATTGGGTGTTCATGTCCTATGCCACTATGGTTGAGTTTTTTACTTTTTTTTTTTTTTTTTTAAACAAATAAATCATTGAAATTACTGCTAGTTATAAAATTGAAACCTTTAATGTAACACCTGCGTGTTTTGATAATCAATTTAATAAGTCAAATATCTTTACTATATTATTAAACATATTGCCTCTTTCTTGAAAATTAAGAGGTACAACATGTATTACTTCATGTACAATGATTTTATGCTTTAAAATCTAATCCGGTCAACGTAAGGATAAGTAAGAACTCGGTGAATTTGTTGAAAAAATCAAGATAAGAAGGGGAAAATGAATTAGTATTCCTCAATTTCAGCCAAATGAATCGGTCATCACTGATTACATTTTAACCTATCCTCTCTCTCAGTTCGGTCACAAACTCATGCCAGAAACCAAACGGCCATTCACCACTCATCGCCTATATTTGTGATCGACTCTTCCGGTTTGGAGAAACTTAGTTGCTAGGAAGTTGGATGCCTTTATGTTTTTCTGACTAATAGCAAGAAATTACATCATAATGGAATTAAATATCTTTTAATCAAAAGAAATGAAAGTAAAGAGGCTGTTGAGAAGAAATCTTATCTGCTTTAGTTGAACACAAAGAGGTATTGAGATATATTAACACTTTACCTGAAAGTTGAACACAAAGAGGTATTGAGATATAAAGCCTATATGTGTGTTGTTGTGTGCATGTTATTATGAATTGAGTGTATGTGGCCCTGCTTGAGCACTAGCTGTAGATCATTTGGTGTGCAGAAACGAGCAACAGAAGAGAAGAGGGAGGTGAGGTAGCTGAGACAAAGAAAAGAATTTGCAAAAGGAAGTGTCTATAAGTAGTTTTGAGGATAAGGTATAAAGGAACAAGATTAGGCATATCACCAAAATCAATTATTTTTTATTTATTTTTATTAATCTTATTTTACTTCATGTCATGTGCTTCACGGGACAAAAAGTACACAGTTTTCATTGTTCATGTATTTTTTGGTGTTTCCTGTTGATGCAAGTCTCAAATTACTAGAATAGGAGGTTGTTAAATTCATTTTGTTCTTCTTTGAGAAAGAGGATTACTAGGGGCGTAGCTAAATGTATTTCAGGTGGGTCCTATGACCTACCTAAGTTCTAATATATTATAGAAACTTATATTAGGAACTACCTTATCGTATTGAAAAATATAAATGATCTATCTAATTCCGTACGAGGAACCACGTAATTTTTTGTTCTAGATTCGCCACTGAGGATTACATCATCCATTTTACTTTTGGGCGTCGAAAAGGTAACAATACAACATCGAGTGGATCTAAAAAAAGGTAATTTAGTCTCTCAAATAAGTGTTCTTTTGATTCAATTCAAGGGATGTTAACTTTGTTAAGTATCATGTTAAAGTTTACACTACACAACCAAGATATCAATATTTTAATCCTCCACTCGAGCCCAATTACATGTGCCTTGTGTTTTAATTATGTACTAAAAGTTAAAATTCTTGATTACTACTTGAAAGAACAACTGTTTTCGTGAAAGATTCCACACATATGTTTTTTTTGAGTTATGATAACATGGAGTTTATTCAACAAGAAGCTGGTAGGTTGGCGGCTATGGACATTGTGAGAATTTCATACAAAAATGGTAAAGATTAGGTTGCATAGATTACAGGAGTAAGGTCAAAAGTGGAAAATTTAGAACATTTGTGTAATTATATATAAGCCACACCATTTAGATTTTTTCCCTTTAGCGTTAACTCAACTATGTTTATTTATTTATTTATTTATTTTTTAAACCAGGGTGTCTTTTTTTGCCAAAATGTTTATTTTGCTATTAGAAGGTTTACATCACTACCATGACAAAGATTCGATGTTCAGTAACAAAGGTAAAATCTATTTTAGATATAATTCGGGATTTGGGTTGTTCATTTAAAAAGGTTAGAAGCAGTTTTTGAGATTTATATAATTATTTGTTTTGGATGTATATGTTATGGGAATGGGAAATGTGTGTCTTCTTCTGATGGAAGCAATTTTTGCAACTTTATTTTATACCATAAAGTTTCTTTTTACCCACAAAAGTGTATGGATTTGTTCATTTATTTAATTTGTTGCTCTAATTGCATTTCTGGATACCTTTATACATAAAAGTTAATTTCAGAGATATCATCAAAATACTTTGAGTTGGTAATAGTATTTAATAGATGTTTTTTTAAACATTTGGTTGCATGTTTTAATCCAAGTGTAGATGTAAATCTCGGATATCTACATTTTATTTTTGGTAGACCAAGTATAATATTTATTATGACTTTATCCAATATATTATGCTTTTTTAATCATATCAAAGATTTAGTTTCATATGATTTCTTATAAGTTATTGGTTTATTTAAACTATACGACATATTCGAACAATTTATGGATAAGATAATTATTAAACATCAAGCATCAATTGTATTATATAACTGAGACGGGGATCTATTAAAATTATTTTTTAGCCTACTTTACATATAAAATAATAATATAAACTTCCTTTTTTAAAATGAATATAAATTTCCTACCTGTAAAACAAGTAGATATCTTCCGTCTATTTGAACAAAAGAAATAATCATTTCTAGAAATTAATTTTTGAGAAACTATTCACACCCGTCGCTTAGCGCGGGTAAACGGCTAGTCCTAAATTATGATTTTTAGGGAATAATATTGTATTTTAGGAATTTAGTTGATAACAAAAATGACAAAGAGAAATTATAAAGCACGAGGGGGTAAAATGACAACCTATGAAAGTACACAATTTGACATGTAAAAGGAAATTGGGGATAATTTGACAAGTTATGAAAGTTGAAGGTCAAATCACATTTGAGTGGAGCTGATTTCTTTACATTTTTAGTCCCTTATTTTGATTTCAGGTCATTTTTCACGACTAGGAGATCTTATCACGGATATATTTCAATTTTACCAAACTTAAATTTGTCATAAACAATTAAACATCCTTTACTCCTCAAAGCAGTGAATTTTTAAAAATTAATTCGGACCGTCCCTTGAATGTTTTAAACTTGCACACTTCATACCTCGTTGGTTTAAATTTACACACTTTATCTTTTACTATATACTACCCTTATTATTTTATTTATAATTCATTTTATATTAAAAAAAGCATAAATTACAGCCCATATATCTACCGCCCATTTTCCTCCCAAATCAGTTGAAAATATACAACATCCTCATCACAACCTACCGGACAACAACCACTGGTGACCACCTCCAACTACCTACTATGTTTCTTCTTTCTCTTAGAACACCATCAAAATGTCGGATCACCGCCCACAACCATTGACATACCACAACCCTCGTCCCATTCTCTCTCTCTCTCTCTCTCTCTCTCTCTCTCTCTCTCTCCCTCTCTCTCTCCGATCAGGGTACTCCTCTTGGAACCTTCACCTTCATGAAAACATAACACCGTCACCACCACCTCCTTCACCATCGCCACCCTCCTGTATAAACACCATAACACTTCATCGAACCTTCACCTTCATGAAAACATAACACCATCATCACCACCTCCTTCACCATCACCACCCTCCTGTATAAACACCACCGAAGTAGATCATCGTCAGTAACCTCTACCGTCGCTACATCTCATCATTCCCGATGCCACCAGAAAAGGAGGTTCAGAAAGCCTAAATCTCATCAATGCCATTCTTCTCCAGTCTGGATCTCCTCTAAGAACCAACCTTTACCGCCAACAACCACTTATAATGAGTACCCAACCAAACCAAAATAAAAAATTGAAATTGGTTCCAGAAATTGAAATCAAAATCGAAAATGGTTCTAGAATTTGAAGTTGAAATCAAAATCATACAGATGGTGGTGGTTGTCGTTCTAGAGCCTGTTCTTCGAAATCTGGTGCTCGTCTTCGCCGGCAAAAATAAAGGCGATTGAAGCCGATTTGAGGCCCCAGACAAAATAAAAAATATAAGGCCCTTTTTGCCTATGCTTGCGACGACTTAATACCAAAAGTATTTTTTTCTAAAATAATATAAGTTGATATATGAAAAATGGGCCCCGAAAAATTTGGAGGCCTTGGGCCGTTGCCCATTCCGCCCCACCATCTCTTACAACCCTGGGCAAAAACTTTTTAGTTTCACTTTCAAAATTGAACCCCATATCTTAAGCTACACACAAAGAAGATCGGAAAAGGAAATTACACACCAAAACTTTATATTCAAAGAATCAAACAAGAAGGGGAGAGGTGGTTTTCTATGTGGGTGAAGGTAGTGAAATCGAAGCGTAGAACTTAAGCCTCTATAACATTTTGTTTTCATTTTCTGGATTCAATGAATAATTAGACCATAAATTGCATTTTTTTAGCAAGAGAGATAGGGGGTGGGGGGGGGGGGGACAGAGAGGGTGAAAATGGTGAGGAGTACGTTGACGATGGTTGTCGAGTGAGTGAGAAAGAGGGTAACTAGGGAAAGGGAAGGGATAGGGGTAGGTGGAGATATTTAATTAATTATTTTTTTAATCTAAAAATTGATAAATAAAGAAAGAAAAATAAAAAAG